GGCTTTTATGGGGAAGGGGGGCAGAAAGCCCTGGGAAAATAGTTTTTTCTTTTTCTTTATAGAGGTCCAGAAATGAAGTCCAGTGAACTGCAGCCTCTGAAATGTGTTTTTCACCCTTTTTATGCTTTTGCAGCCGTATAGTACCACAGGGGGAAGGGTAGATCACTAGAATTTGCATTCCTGGGAAATCTTTTGGAAGTTTAAACCAATTCAGTGTGTTTGTGTACGCAGCTAACAGGCTGGAGCTAGTCTTTTTAACATTCTTGGTAGCCCTCCAAATATTCCTCCCATCGGATGAGCTTTTTCCTGTTGTGTCCCCATGATGTGCTCTTAGTAGACTTCCCTTTTGCTGCTGTCATATAAGGCCTTTTTAATTTGCTGCTATCCCAAGTGTGTATTACCCGCACAGAGAACCATGGAATAGGCTCAAATCCCCCCCCAAAACACTAAATATCTGTACATACTGAAGTGGTAAGAGTTCACCAATAAAACATTTTTGGGTAAGTTGCTTTCTTTTTTTTTCTTTAAAAAAAAAATTGATGTTGAGCTTGTTTTCTTTCATGTCAAGTTGATATGATACGGTTTTAAATAACCTGTCGTATTTTTCGTTTTTCTCCCAGTTGACGTGATGAAATGTGTGGTTCTGCTTGCTGTTTGAGTTCTAGTGGCATTTTCTTAGTCCTGTGTGGTCTTTCTGGTGATTGGAGGGGTGGAAGTGGAGTGTTTTTGTGCGAGACCTCAGAGAATGGAATGTTTTCTAGAAGGTGACAATGAAGAGGCTGACTGCAGAGGTGTGAGGTAGTGCGTTGAGAGCGTGTGATGTGGTGTCGGCCATCTTTGTGTTGGATGAGTGGTCAGGTGACATGTTCTTGCTTGCGTGTTCTGCGTGCAATGAATCCTGATGTGGTGTTGGCCATCTTGTGTTGGGTGAGTGGACAGGTGGTCATGCTTGCATGTTTCGCGTGCACCGGATTGCTGTGATGTATGTTCTGTTATTAGACGTTTAATAGTCTATCTTCCCAATTAGCAGTCTATAACGTTACTGTTCTTTCTTTTAAAATGCACTCTAAACAGCTGTGACTTTTCAGGGAATGTGACCTAGAAAATAGAGATATGAATCGGTAACGGCATTCTAAAGGGTTTTTTTTTTTTTCCCCCTTCCTTCATTACAGGCCAATCTTACGAAATCCGTCTCCTTGACAACAGAAAATTGGGAGAGTACCAAGATCTGAATAACAAATATCTCAAGGTAATTTTTTGTAAGCAGGCTGATCTGTTCGTCCTCTGTAAAATGCGGTGCTGGAGGAAAGTTCACTGATCTAGTTGTCCCGTCCTGCAGAGCATTATAAGGGTGGTTTTCCACGACCGTCGTTTGCAGTATACGGAACATCAGCAGCTGGAAGGTTGGCGATGGAACCGACCCGGGGATCGTATCCTTGACATAGGTTAGTGTTGGTCGGAGACTGGAACACTTAATGGAAGGTTGGCGATGGGAGCCGACCCGGGGATCGCATTCTTGACAAAGGCTAGTGTTGGTCGGAGACTGCAACACCTAATGGAAGGTTAGCAATGGAGCTTTCCCCTGGGGATTGCATTCTTGACATAGTTTAGTGTTGGTTGGAGACACAAACACTTAATGAAAGGTTGGTGATGGAGCCGACCCCGGGGATTGTATCCTTGACATAGGTTAGTGTTGGTCTGAGACAGGAACACTTGATGTGATCATCATTCTAGACCTGGTACAAAGACTCCTGCAAATATATTCAGGATTTTTGGGGAGTTTTTTGGCTTTTTACAGGGTATTGAAAGTTGTGTGTGAAAATGTTCCCTTACTCTGGGTGGTTTTCTGTAACACTCCTGTTGGTGCTGAACTCTAGGGAGATATAAAAGGCACAATAGAATACAGCTCTGTATTCATGAATGCATCCAATTTGTTTGTATATGCAAGCAGTGCAAGTACATGAATTTGGCTTGGTATCTGTCTCTTATATTCCTTGTACAGCAGACCTCAGAGGGGGATGAATAAGCAGCACAAGGAGTCAATCATGTGTGCTGCAGGGAAAAGGGCCTGCAGATAGGAGGGCACAGCATAGTGACAGATGAAGTGACCAGTGTGCCACTTCTCCTTTCCCTGTCTACCGGAGACTTGTAAACAAAAGTGGAATTGCACCAGAGGAAGATCTGTTACCCCACCCTGCCAGACAGGCTATGCTGTGTAAATTACAGGACTGGATACACACGTAGAAATCCTTTGGCTGGAAAAACAGCTCCCATATACAATGAGTGGCCAGATTATTATGACCACCCCATCAGTACTTCGTTGGGCCGCCTGGTGACTCCACGAGATGGTGAAAGGTGATGCGAGGAATCTGACACGGCACTGTTGCCCTTCTGTTGTCTTGTACCAGTCTTGCCCCTCCCCCGTTCTGCCCTAACATTGACTAGTCGCTGACGGCCACAATTCGCACGTTCAGACCCAGATTTTCGGCTGACAGTCCGGTCTTTAAACACTTTAACAAAGTGTATATAATAATCCGGCCACTCGGTGTATATGCATTTCAGCTGTGTATCTACGGGTTTGCCTGGAGTTTAGCTTTGGGGCATTTTGGTCATAGATTAGTAAAAAATATAATACCTCACTATCCCAAGTACTTCTAAATGGAATCTCCCATGAAATTGCCTTTTGTTGGGATGCCTCAAATGGAAGCGGGTGTCTGAGTCAAGTCGCATACCAGTTTAGAAATTGAGCCAAACCCATTACGTTCTCCTACGCGGTCTCGACTTTGGAAGTCAGTGCTCCTTTATACACATTTCGAGGAAAGATCTCCAAAAAAAAAACTATGAATACGCAATGTTTTTCTGTAAGTTCACTTTGGCATGAAAACTTGGTTTGATCTTTTACAGATATTCCCTTGTCGGTTGGCACTTTGGATCCCCGAGCCAGCTCAACACAACTAAACACTATAGAGTTCCTGTGGGATCCATCCAAACGAACATCTGCTTTTATTCAGGTACTCTAGAAGACTGTCTTCCATTGGAAAAAAGATGTTTGACTGAAAGCTGTGCCAACTTAGGAGGAGTGTATATCTACTAGAGGCAAAATCATGTGCAGATTTACCACCACTCGTAACTCTTATGAAATCTAAACATAAGGATTTTGTCTAAATGTTTAGTGTAGTTATAGTTCATAATCCTTCTGTATATATTATGCCTAAACACCAGAGAAGGTAATGATTTGGTGTATGTTAGGGCATAAAATCTTAAAACAAGGAAAGAAGTCAAAGCTTATTTATAATACGAGACCCTCGTACAAATGAGGAACCCTTGAAAAGAGGGATTTAAAAAAGGGAGTCAAATTTATTCCTACTCGACCAAATGTTCCTGATACTTACCCCGATACCGGAACTTCCGGTCAGAGGGAGTTTCCCACTAACCGGCAGTGCCATGACTAAGCGTGGAGCTGGCTTCCTGGGCAATCGGGAAACCGGGCGGCGGGTCATGAACCTCCTCCTGGTTTTCTGATTGGCTAGGAAGCTGGTTATACGTGTTGCTAAGCAGCCTGGCTTCCTGACAAATCGGGAAGCCGGGCGGTGGGTCATGCCGTGCCACCCGGCTTCCTGATTGGCTAGGAAGCCGGCTTCAGTTGACCAATCATGAAGCCGGGAGGCTGGTAATGACGTGGTCAGGAAGCCAGGCTGCCTAGGATCGTGAAGTCAGTGTTTTGCTAGAACACCGACTGCCCAGGCACTTGGGAAGCCAGACGGTGGGTCATGACCCATCATCTGGCTTTCTGATAAGTTGGGCCCATGGCACCCCGGGATGCTGGTATCGGCGAGTCCTGAAAAGAAATGTCAGTGCTCGATACTGAAAAAAAAACCCCGCTATCGGAGCATCCCTACTTAAAATGACTCAAGGAACCCGTGTTGAAAAATATATCTTTAGGTCATGGTACATTAGTGGAGCCAGTAGGTTGCAGAAAGTTTTGCTGTTTTTAGTGTTTCCTTAGTTGTCAGAGAAATTGCTTACGTTGGAGGTCATTAGATGCCCCATTACAGTGGCGGTTAGTGGAGAAATGCCCTCTAACCTGGCCAGTATGGAAAGAGCCACTTAACATTGGTGGTCATGGCAGAAAAATGGATGTCAGCCTTGCAGGTTGTCCACATTTACAAGGTTATTAAACATGTATACCTTCATGGGTTTTTTTTTTATCCGCTTCCTCATGCTTTAAGCTAGTGGGATATTTGTCTGTGACATCAGTAACCTGCACCTTGCCAATGCCGAGATGTAAACTGCATCTGTTGGAACAACATCCTCATAGATCTCCAATTCAAAACTAGGCTTGGCTTCTTTTGGTCTGCATATGCGCAGGGTTTTTTGATGTTGCTGGAGGGCAGAGGGTAAATAAATGCTGAGACACATTAAAGATGCACCAGCTTCAGCAACAGGGGTAAAACGGCAAACATTGGCAAATAAGATGACGAGTTACATATCTGTGATGCATTAGCAGTCATTTGTTATACTAAAAAAAAGGCAGCCAACTTGGTGCCCCCTTGCATTGGTGGCCACTGTAGAAGTCCCCTACTATTGGGTATGAGTGGAAAATTCTGCCTCGAAATATTGATGGGTATAGGTGGGAGATCCATCTTCCACTCCCGAAGGTACCCCTAGCAACCTCTGGCGGAAACCATAGGGCAGTGGTTCTCAACCTTTCTAGGGCCGGGACCCCTTGGTAACATTTGCCAAGTTGTGGTGACCCCCAAAGGTTAAAATTTTAGGGATGACGCGGCTGCTACAGCAACATCTGGTGGCGTGGCGGGAGAACTGACACTGCTGCGCTAGGAGAGGGCTGAGGAGGACTCTCACCTAGCACAGCAGAAATCACACAGCGACCTACAGCTTGAGAACCACTGGCGTACGCAGTCAAAAACAAAAACCACCATAGGAATCCATAGCTAGATTCCTATTGGCTATTTCACTTTGCAATAGCCAATAGCAAATGTGCTGTTGCACCCGCCCCTTTGCTGCTGTCAATCACTAGAAGAGGACCTGATGGAGCCGTTATCTAATAGCGGGAGACTCCCGGGCAACCCCTGGCAAATCGTCATTTGACCCCCGACGGGGTCGCGACCCACAGGTTGAGAACTGCTGCCCTAGGGTTCAATGAAACCCTGGTGAGAAAGGCTGCTCTAAAGCATACACCTATATAACAATATACAACAATATATCCAGAGGGGCACAATATCCCTGTTTTTTTCTAAAACAAGTCAAATGTATGGTTAATAAGGGATACAATTCTATCTTAAGATGTTTACTTGTAAAATATTTTGCAGTGTTTTTTATTTTGTGTTTTTCAACGATATGCAGGTACATTGTATCAGCACAGAGTTCACTCCCAGGAAACATGGCGGAGAGAAGGGCGTTCCTTTCCGAATTCAGATTGATACATTTAAGCAAAATGAGAATGGAGAGTACACAGAACATTTGCACTCAGCCAGCTGCCAGATCAAGGTGTTCAAGGTACCTGTCCTTAGTGGATGCTTTCTTCCATGGTCCCTCCATGTTTAGTCTTCTCTCCTTCTCAACCTCCTCCTAAGCAAAACCTGAGAACCTGAAAGAATTTGAGGAATCTAATTTGTTGTGTGGTGGAGGTTCTATTCAACCTCTTGCTGACTCATAGGTTTTCAGCTTTTGATGGAAGCAGGTTAGCTTGCCAGTTGGCTTGTGGAACTACATATGAAAAAGCACCCAGAAGGCCCAGATACAGAAAGACAGAGCAACTCCACCGTACTCCAGGACTGATGGGCACTCATGCCTCATTACGTGAGCGCCGATCAGTCCTGGAAAAGGGTCTGCTGCTGGAGAGGTCATTCAGTGCGGGGTGACTAAAAAGACAGGCCTCAACACGGCAAGGCCCTTGGGAGCCACTGTGCAGTCCCAGCACAATTTCTAGGGGTGCATGATTACCAGTGGTAAAAAAAACCTCACTGTAGCTTGTGCTTGAATTCAGCCCAACTTTATAATAACGGAAATTCCTCTGGCTTTTGTCTAGACTTCATAATGTTTCATCTTTAGATTTATTACTGAAGAAATGTTTAGTGTTTTATATATGCAATACTACATGAACAGAGGTTGTTACAGGTTCACTTTAAAGTGTATGTATAGGCAAACATTCTTTGTAGCTTGGTATAGTTGAGATGGATTAGAACCCCCATTGTGAGTGCCCACTGGGGAGCTTCTCCTTTTTTATCCTGGTCGCCAAGAGTGATGGGAATTCCAGAAATGCATGGTGGTCGTCAGAACAAGAGGTGAATGGAAACCTAAGGCGGCGCCTGTCTTGGTGTCTGCTGTCTGAGAAGAATTCCCCTTTTATATACTTTGTAGATCATTCTCACTTCCTGTTGTGTCTCCAAAACACTAAGTGTATTTTTTTTTTCATTCCAGGAGTTCAGCTTTTAAAGTAAAAGATTAGATATATGCATTGCAAAGTACTAATTGTTCTGTAAATGTTTCCAGCCTAAAGGAGCAGATAGGAAACAGAAGACCGACCGAGAGAAAATTGAGAAGAGAACTATGCAGGAGAGAGAGAAATACCAACCATCCTACGATACCACCATCTTGATCGAGGTGAGAATTACAAAAGAACCTGACTAAGTCTACATAACTACATCACAACACTCTGGCTGTTTAAAGCAATGCTATTTTAGATATTCACTGGTTTGCTAAACAAATGGGGGGGTGCGTTAGTGAATCAAGAAAGCCATCAAGTCTTCCATGGTCAGAACACCCTTCTCTCTGGTCCTGGTTTCACGGACATTTGAACTAGGGGTTCAGTGTCTCTGGCTTTAAATTGAGGGATTCCCAACCTGCCTTCTTTCCAGTAAGAGCCCGTTTTAGTCACTAGGGCTCTCTTCGGGTGCTATTTGGAATGACAGTTAAGCTGGACTTGGTCTCAATGTTGGAAGCTGCATACCAGTAAAGAGGTGCACAGGAGGAGAGGGTTTTTTTTTTTCTTTTTGTCAAATAAAATTAATAGAATTGTCTGTTTTGCTCTTGGGCAGAACTTGTAGCACTGTTTAAATGGTTTTCAAGAACTGTCATAGATCATTTGTCAAGTTTTACTCTGCACTTTCCTCCTCCTTTACACCCGATAGCCTCTGGCATTGGTTAGAGGAAAAAGAAATTGGAACCAAAAGTTAGAAATTGTTATCAAGCATGCAATGTAAAATGGAATTCTTTTAGAAAGTCTCTCTGCCAATCCCTGCACTGGCTTCCATCCCCCGCCCCCATCTGCCCACCCCACCATTGGCTTCTGCCCGCCCAATGAGTAAACTTCAAAATACCGCAAACAAAGCCACCCTCAGTTCTGCCCCCACCCACATCACTGGCCTTGTCTCAAAATATCAGCCACTGTCCTATGAACTCCACCCAAGACCTCCTGGTCTCTTCCTCAGCACTTCCTTCCATGCTCCAGAGCTTCCCTGTCCTCTAACTCCCAACCCCAGTCTGTCAAGCTATCTTCTACTGTCTGCCTTTTAGGTGATTGCTGATAACATCTCTTCTGGGAAGTCTATCCCACCTATGCATAACTGAACTTTTACTTTCTCCATCAACTCATCTTTCAAATATTACTTTTTGTATCACTTGCCTCTCCCTTGTAGATAAGCTGTCAAGATCATGGTCCTCCTTACCCTGTTATCTTGATTTGTATTACTGTACTGTCTCCCTTTAGGTTATAAATTGCTGGGCAAACTGTTGGCGCTATAGAAATTCTGTATTATAAAAAAAAATCTTTAGTGGATAATTGGCCCCCCAAAAATTGTTCTTGCAGTGTTCTCCGTGGCCAGATCTGCCGTATCAGTCAAATTCATCATCGTCTCCCGGCTACAACAGCTCTCCAAACAGCTTCGGGATTGGAGAAGGGTATGTTTCCTTAAATCTTGTTCAACTTGTTTTCCCACACGAAGAATGCAGCATCAACTTTCTAGAAATGTAGAGCAAAAAACTGCCAGTCATGGGTTGTATTTTTTTTCATTTTTCCATTCTCCCTTATGTTTGTATACAAGAGACTCTGCTGTACAGAATGTCTTGGGTTACCTAATAGTATCTTGTAGGGAAAAGGGCAAATGGCTTGCATCATATGACTTAGCAGAGTCCTGGGTGTGGCGGTTTTACAGGGGTTGATATCTTACTAAGCGTGCAGGTGTTCAGCACCACGCCTGTGGACAGCGGCACTCCACTAATACCTGGCAGTACTAATTCTTCTAGTGTGTCTGCTTTGGATCTTGTTACTAATTGTCATTTTTCTTGCTTGTTTCAGCAACTGTTCTCCAACCCCTCAGGTGGAACCTCCTGTTAGAAATGAGGTAAATGTTTAAAATGTGCAACCTTTCTCATACTAAAGCAAAAAAAAGTGCTTGGTTAGCAACCAGGTTTGTGAGTTCCTGGATTTTCTCATCCCTTTGAATGGTAGTTCAGAGTGATATTAAAACCCTAATGTTTAACACTTTCAGCTGCTGCTGAGGGTAACACTTTCTTTAAATGCTACTTCATGTTTGAAATGCTGCCTTTCCGCCAGTGTCACCTCATTGCTGGCCCCACTTTCTGGTTTTAAGGGTGCCTCCTTGGCTTGCAGGGTCCTGTGGCACCCTGCTGCAGCCAGGGCCGGATTTACTCTTCCTGATGCCCCAAGGCCAGGTTCTGCGATGCGCCCCCGCGCTGCGGTGGGGGTTAGTGTCAATTTTTTTTACGGTTTCTTTTTATTTTTTTAATTTTGTTTTTAGATTTTTATTTATCATATTTACTTTTTATAATTTTCTTATTTTTTGTTTACTTTTTAAATCACCTTTTTTATTTTATTTACATTTTTTTTAATCAATTAAAACATTTTTTTCCACCTTACTTTATTGCTATCATACAGGAGAAAACAATGCCCTGTGTGATAGCAATTGGAGGTGACAGGTTCTCTTTATTGACACTGTCACCTCCAATACAGGAGTTCTAGCACAGCACTGTGCTGGAACTCCTGTGACAGATGAGAGAGGAAGAGCGCAGCACAGCTCTCCCCTCCCCTCTCACTGTCTACACGGAGTGGCGGAGGACGGTACCAGAGGAGAGAGGTAAGTGCAGGGGGGAGGGGAGAAGGCTGCACACTGTTTACATGTGAAATCTGCGACATCGCCGAGTTCACATGTAAATGAAAAATAGGCTGCCTCACTCTACATTTAGTCCTGCTTGTGCAAAGCAGGACTGAATTTAGAGAGGGCAACTGCCCCACAAGGATGCCGCTGCCGCCCCGGGGCCGGGCCTCGGTGGCTTTGTGGGGAATCCGGGCCTGGCTGCAGCAGCCAACCATTCCTGTGTGCTCCCATGAGACTACAGTGGGAATGCTTCCTGGGCTGGCACGCGCAGGCAGCCTGAGAGGACAAAAGACGCACCGAAAACATGCCTTTGCTCCTCATCCAAGGAAAGTGATCGACAGCAGCTACTGAAGCCACCTTAGCAGCCGTTGTCAATCAGTCCTTGGGCGCAGAAGTGTCCTGTGTCTCATCTGGCTGCCTATGCACGTTTCTGTAGGCGACGTCCGCACATCACCCACTCTTTTGAATGGCGGGGCATGCATGCGCACTGGCGCTAGGAATGGTGGGACGAATAATCCCAACGAGTGTGCTCATATAACTTGAAATTATGTTTTTAGGTGTGTGCCGACAGGCCGAAAATAGTGGCACCCCGCAAGCCAGCGCATGCGGCTGTAAACAAACTTGTACACGTCTTTCCTCTATTGGAAGTAAAGGTTTATCCTTCTGTGCTAAAGTAAACTATACCAATGTGTTACTAATAAGAGGCTTTAGTACTACTGTAAACTTAAAGAGGTGTATTCATTTTTAAAATGAAGGTGCTTCTAGGAC